CTGTTGATTTTGTTTTTAAGATTGTCTGTTTTGTATTTCATTATGTTTATAAAACTAGTTGTTAGTTTTTCATAAACGTCTTTTTTACCCTTTCCGCCGCCCATAGTGATTTAAACCCGGGACATAAGATTGTAAGGATCAACTCTTTACTTCCAAACTCTATAGAAGACACTCTAAATACTGAACCATGGGGAAACTTTAAAAATTTGAAAGGAAATTCTTGTAAATTTCTAACTGGACTGATAACTTTACAAGATGTTTTTCTAGTTAACTTCATGATGAGGATATGGAAATACATATACCCAAGATTTTACCTGTAAATCTAAATTTCTGCTTCAGTGGTCCACAGATTTCTTCCTCCACGGATGACTGACTTTTCCTGCCCCCGTCCAGAATCCATGGAGTATGACTCAGTGTGCGGCTGTACTTATTGTATCTACCTGTGGTGGAATCAAAAATAAAAATACCGTTTCATTCTCATAAACTATAGATATTAAGGAATGTATGCTGTTTTGATTTTTAAAAATTACGTCACTAAAGAGCTAGGTTCACTTTATATTCACAGAATGGTCCTGAGGATATAACAATTCATTGACTAACCCTCTGTATGATTTCATAAATCAATAGACATGAATGGAAGAAAAACAGAGAACTAACCAGCTACAAAGACAGGATCATGGACACACTTGATCTCTTCACATTTACAGACACTGTTCTCATTGCTCTTTGGGATGCTGTAGTTCCTGTGAAATAAATTTATAATTTACTCAATGTACAGTCAATCCTTGATAAATTGAGCCAACCAAATAAATCATATTTCAAAAGCATTAACAGCATAATATTTCCATTTCAATTTTTTTTCTCTGTGATAACTCTTTAAAAGTTAGCGGAGTTGATTTCTTGATAATTCTGCCGGAATGAAAATTAGACAGGTCGATAGGTCAAGAGCAAATGAGGCCAAATAGGCATGTAAATCTAGTGTGGCTGCCTTTGTGTTTGACATCAGTAGACGAGGACTATTGAAAATGGCATGGGAGTCCTCGTGTAATTAAAATCTATTAGTCTACATTTTTAAAGTCTAAATCTACTATTTTATTTCACAATGAAAAAAATAAGGAATCACTGTCTAGTTAGTATAGTATGCCAGGGACATCAACGATAGTGGGCTTTGCCCATTATGCAAATTATCCCATGTTTCCCACTATCGTTGATGCCCTGGCATACTATACTAACTAGACAGTGATTCCTTAAATATTATACTGCAATGCTATAGTTCCAATGTTCCTGTTTAATAAATAATAATTTACTCAATGTACAGCCAATCCTTGATATTTTGAACCCATGTCGTATGATAAAAATAAAATAAATTACAGTTCAAAGAATTAACAGCACTTATTGGTTTTGTCCAACTCTGAGTAATGATACATGGTTATTCAAAATTACCTCAAGCTGTTATCAACAAATATTGTTTAGAAGTGAGGTCAGGTCTCACAAAAAATGAATAGTATGGTAATGTACATCCATAAATGAATCATCTTTGCATGCTTGTCTAGAATTAAGTTTAAAAAAATTATAGTCGTTTCCTGCAGGCAGCCTAAAAAAATAGGGTTAGGTTGGAATTATTTTCTTACTTTCAATTTTTTTTTTAATTATTTTTTTGAGTGTTAATATGAACTAATATAATAAATGTCTTAGATCAACATCATATTTTAAAATTAGATATTATAACATCTGAACATACAGTTTCATGATATATCACATGATTATATTTTTTTTCTTCACTTTTTGAACATGAAATTCCTGAAATTCCCTATTTCCCCCCAAAATTAAAAAAAACTTAAGGGTCAGATGCAAAAAAATAGAAGTAGAAGGAGACAAGTCTATTTTTTGTTTTGGCCTTATAATTAAGTTAGGTCAGGTCTAGTATCTGAAGTATTCCTGATGATAAGAATCCCTATATGCATCTTACAGGTAAGTTTGGCTCCTATAGGATTAAGAGCTACTTGAGAATTGTCAGTACTGTATCCTGGTCACTCAAGCAGAAAAAGAAGGCCAGATTCAGTAATTGCAGCAAGATTGATAGTGTTAATCCATGCTAGTTAAGACACGAATAGTCAAACAATTACTTATGAATCAACTTGTATTAAAAACTTTAACTTTAACCTAGTTACTTAACCACAAAATCTAGGTTAAAAAGAGAGAAGCAATTCTGAAGAGAGAGAGATCATCCAAATGTAAGTTTGAGAGAGATGGGCTTGGGGTTATGAAATGAACCTGCTCCCAAAACCTTTGACTGGAATGCTGTCATGGGGGTATAGCATAAGCATATATCTTGCTGAAGGGAGTTAAGAAAACATCATACAAACCTTCTGAAATATCCATCTGTGATGTCAGATAAAACTTTGGCTACATTAGTTCTTGTGTGGGTATCTCAATAATTCTATAAAATTAATGAAGGTTGATTGCTTATGTAAGTTTACATAATTCAAGATCTTAATAATAGAAGGATATGGAGATAACAAACAGTATTCATTATCAAAGTCCATAAAACAATACAAAATAGGAGCAGAAGAAACACGGACCTCCGAAACATCAGATGTGAGATCAGGTGCCACGGAAGAGTGAGCATCCCCTGCTGACCGATCACACCCGATATTAAATATTTTTTATCACAACCAGCATCATCTAAATTAACTTGTACACAATGTCTTAATTATATGTATAACCCCTTCCCCAGCAAACTTAACATGATAAAGTATGTATGTTTCAAACATGGCCAAAATGATCATCACATTACTGCAGACATTATTGGAGATACATTTTTTTAATTCAATAACACTAAACCTGCATTTAAATTCAAACTTACCTTTTGTTGGTTTTTCCTTTTTCTAAATAATGCTGGACTGTGGTAGGATCTACAGGAATTTTAACAAATAAATCAAACATTGTGAGAGACAGAACGAAATTATATATCAATTTTCAAAAACTACAAACATTTGTATGAGTTACATGAACAATCTGTTATTGAATACGTACAAAAATGTGCATTCTTTGTCTGACTTATCGTAGGTAAAGTTGAGAATAATGTCAAACTTGCTCTACAAAAAAAACCATTGGTAGTCAATTGTTATGAGACTTTCTGTAAATGTTGTCTCTTAATTAATACAAATTTTCACACATAACAAATGTTCTGGCAGTGTGCATTCCTATATATAACATCTATAAGATCCAAAGATTCTAAAAATGGACCTCCAAAAAAAAAAAGAAACTACAGATCAATCAATAATTGCACAACTCAAACCATTACTTTACAACTACTTTCTGTATGAAATATTTTAGTTTTTACAGTAAGTATTGTGATTTTAAAATTGTATCTGTTACTATTCATTCCCTGTACATGCACAGTGTAATACTAACAGACAGTGATGTGAAAAGTTGTAAAAAATCAACCTTGAATTCAAAAGGTGCATTTAGAGCTGCTGCTAAAATAGGACCACTCCTCCATTTCCACACATCCTTAACTGACGCTATGTCCTCTATCAATTATTTACACTCATACAGAGATCTGAAAACAGACATATAGTTCTAATAAGTAACCCAAGCCTCATATCACAATCAGGGATAATGGAATGGACACAATGATGGAGAAATTGGAAATGGTCAGGTAAAATGTACTCACTTAAACTTTTCATTTAGCGCAGAAGGAAAGCATGCTTAAACGAAAGATTGAGGTTTTATAATGAAACAAGTTAAAACAACTTTTTCCTGTCACATTATAAACAAATTATATGAATATGTAAATGAAATCCTTTAAACCTATAATATTAGATAATTATATTAAATATATATCTTGATCTTCAGTTACATACCTCTCGAAGAAGTGAACATTAGCACTGTGTGGTGGGAAAAATGTATGTTTTAAACTGATGATCACTGGATTTAACTGTCTCCACAATCTGTTCAAATGTGGCAAAGGAAAAATAACACTTCATATACATGTAGGTACTTAATACAAATTTATATAAATTAGAATCTATTAAAATGTGGCATGTAATTTATTCAGGTTTTGCATACAAACACTGAAGTTTACAAAATGTTTAACACAAGATTTAACTTACTAGAGAAACTCTTTTATACACCTTGCAATCCTCAACAGGCAGGACAAGGAAGGGAGGTTAAGAGATCCTCCTGACCATCTGTTAGTGATATCACTTCCTGGGTCAATTCCCTGAACAAACATGTAGTATATCATGACCAGAAAACCTGTACTATTTAAACTTACTAGTACCTTGGTTTTTTTTTTTTTTTTCTGAACAGTGGTAGTATATCTAGTACAAAAATTACATCGCTTGAATGATTAAATGTGTTCTTTAATACATACAAAAGGTGTTTTCCTTGTCATTAATCGTAATTAAAATTGAAAAAAATGTCAAACTGTAAAAACACTGGTGATCAAACATTACAAATGTTTTATTTATAAGCAAGACCAAATTGCATGTCAAACAAATGTTCTGGTAGCATGAATCCTTAAATACATTTCTAATAGATTGTTTCAGTTTAGATTTATACATGTATACATTTATATTCAGCATTCTAAGAAATGTAAATGTGCATGATGTTGTTTGCTCCATAGTCATTTCATTCTTAAAAATATTTGAATGAAAGCACCAGTCAATACTGGATACAAAAACTAGTTGAAATGTATCAACAAAAGGATTTGCAAAATATAGACTTCGGTTTAAACTAGATCGTTTATACCCATGCAACACCAACTATTTTTTCAATAATCTGCCTCAGTTTAGATATTGACAGTACTCTGAACAAACCTTAGTATATTGAATCAACTGGGAGACATTTTTATTATATGCAGTAGAAAATTGGTGCTATATTGCTACATAATTAAGAGAGTTGAAAGTCATTCTTTGAAATAAATCTGTTTGCAAGCTTCAATACAAACTTCTCTTTAAGAAAGAAAACACAAGGATTGAACTGGGGTATAAATTTTATTCAGTCTAGGATACAGGAATCTGTCAGCTTGCTTCTAAGCTTGGAGGCCAATCCAACTCAACACTCTATGAAATATAAATGATAACAAGAATATAACAAAAGTTTGCTTTATTTTTAAACAAATCTGTGAATATAACTCTCATTCAAGTCATACTCCAATCACCCTTCATCATTGGAATGTAATGAGACAGTTATTAACGTACCTATATCAAAGACTAATTTTCAAAATCTTATTGTTTTTTATCAATACCGAGTCATTGTTGGAAATGAAAAATAAAAGTTAGAAATTCCTCATATTATTCTATATGAAAATTTGAAGCCATATTTCGACTATTCCTGTTTCAAAAACACCATTTAATAAAAAAAAATTGAAATAACAATAGATATACTTTGTGATTATTGCATGATATTTTGACTATTTATAGCCTTGAGGTTTGGGAAAATAAGTTTTATTTTGGGTTTTAGTTTATTTTTATGGAAACCTTAATTTCTCCTTGTTCCAATGGACAAGAAACTGCATTGCTTAAAATTTTTGGATATTTCAAATATTTTTTTCTGCTTCATTATATTTCTTCTTCATACAAACCTAGTCCAAGTTTAATCACATACCTCACAGTTAACCTTTATTTTCTATATGCAATTTCACCTGTACATAGAGTTCCAGTATATCACACTCCACCCCAGTCAAGATTCCTAGGTTTGGAGTGGTTCTCCCGAAATCTCCGTGAACAAAATCCTTAATGTAGCTAATGTTTAGTTAAGGTACATATATATTCAACACACCTGCAACAAACTTTAATAAACGCATACTGCACACTTAATACACATGTGTGTATATACATTAAAACTTGATTCTATATAGAAATCTCCTATGTTCCTGATACCCTATGATATTTGCATTTTTTTTTATTAAAGGAGTCTAGAAATATCCAGATTCCTCATTTGATTTTTTATAAAATAATACTGTACAGCAGGAAATTAACTCGCGGAGTTAATTTTCGCTATATTCGCGGAAAAAGAAATTCCGCGAATTCAAAATACAGTGAATAATTCTTTAAATGTTTTATAAGGATAAATTGAATTTTTTTTAATTTATTTTCTGTGATTAGGTGTAGACTGTCTTTATAAATATGCGAGTGTATAGATCAATATTACAAACACGTAGTTGTTGGTGTTTTTAAAGCTTATTAATTGTTTAATTCATTTTTCTAGCTAACGATTAATTTTGCTATATAGTATACGTGCGATATAATTATTTAATAAAACATGCTTGTTTAATTTCACCCGTACGTATCACTCAGTCATTACCTTTAATCAAGGCATTAACATAGTAAACAGGGTAATGACAATTGATTAATTTCAATTATATGATTAAAGGTTCAACATTTTGACTACGGTTTAATTTTTTTCTGATTTGGAGCCGGAAATAAAAAAATTAAATGAGTAGCATTATTTTGACTTCAAATTGGGATCAATCCGGTGTTTCATTATTTTTCAACCTGGATCAAACTCGGCACAATATATAAACTTTACTTTTCTGTCTGATATTCGTGACATATACATTACAAACTTTCACAATTCAATATACTATAGAGACGGAAAATAGCACTTAACACAATATATACCTACAGAAAATGTGTAAAAGTACTGTTTAAAAAATGTATGGTTTTTCCTTTCCGCGAATTCAAAAGACAGCGATTTGCAGAAACTTGAACAAATCGCGATCTTTTCCGACCGCGATTTTAACCTGCTATACAGTTCATGACCATATAAGGATACGTGCCCGCTTGTGATGAGAGACTCAAGGTAAAATGAAGGTCATCTATTTTCTCCGCTGACATACTGTACACGATTCTCTCCCTTGTCGCCAGAGGGCGCCGGTGTAGGACTCGAATGGGAGTCTTTTGATAAATGACAAGATCCTGAAAGTAGAATACAAAGCAAATCACATCATTATATGACATTTATTCAATGATTATTTAAGAATAAATCACACAAACTTTTTTCAAAAATTAGTAATTTTTCTCATAGATTTACTTAATGTGGAATGCCACGCCAACTTTTTATTTTATAGATCTTTGAGTCATCCTTTTTAAACAATGGTTTCAGCATTGAAAGTTCGATATTAGCTCTTAATTATTTTATATGATTTTTTTTGTATTTTTTCAAAGAAAATGAAAAAAATTATTTACATCCAAATAAGTTTTTTTCAAGTTAAAAGTTTGCTGTAAATGAATGCATCATATATGAATATCTAATAAAATATGCAAAGAAAGGCTGGTTACATTTTTTATTTTTTTTATGAAAAATTATTTATGAAAATAAAACACATTATTTGTAAATATTTTTTAAACCTATAGTTAAAAACACCATAAAACTAGTCACAACTGAGGACAACATGTTTTATAAAGAAATTGAAATGGAATTGAGAAATTTTAGAGAAATAAATTTTTTTAATATTTGGACCTAACCCAATCAAAATTATACTGATCCTGATCAAAATTAACACAAAATGAATAAAATGCTAATTTATTGACTCCTCATGTATTTACAATGAAGAAATCTATTTCATTGTCAAGTTCAGTATTATTTTAACCCCTATTATACCCAACCAGACTAGTGTTCTTAGGGAAATGTTCTTTATTTCCAATAATTATACAATTATGGCTGGGGTCGGTTTAATTTTGATAGGGTTTGGACAAAATTTAAAAAATTAATTTATCTAAAATTTTGCCATTTCGTTTCAATTTCTTTTATAAATATGATATATGAAAATGTTCTCCCAGTTGTGACTGGTTTTAAGAAGATTTTAACTACAAATTTAAAAAATATTCACAAATTATGTGTTTTATTTTCATAAATATTTTTTTATTTAAAAAAAATTAATATCTATACAGCTTTTCTGTATATATTTTATTTAGGTATTTATGTGATGCATACTTTAACAGCAAAATTTTTGCAAGAAAGCATCTAATTTGGATATAAATAATTTTTTTCATTTTCTTTGAAAAAATTCATATAAAATAATTTAGAGCTAATGTCGGCCTTTCAATGCTGAAACCATTGTTTAAAAAGGTTGACTCAGAGATCTATAAAATAAAAAGTTGGTGTGGCATTCCTCCCTAAGTATTGAATTCATATTTTTGGATGCCTTTGGTCCTATAACACACCTGGCCGTGCCAACAAATTGAATACCGTGCGTTAGCGCGGTATGATAACTTGTCGGCACGCCCAAGTGTGTTATAGGACCAAAGACTTCCAAAAATATGAATTCAATGCTTATATTTACATTCTCTAATTTTCCTTCTTCATAATTGATTATTCGTCCATCTTAAATGTGATTTTAGCGCCCTTCAAAACTGCCGAGGTTAATAGATGTAAGAGCCGTTTGTGACGTCAAATGACGTTAAATGACGTTGCAAAGTTAAATAACGCAAACAAACATTGCAAGGAAAAAGGTGACAAATTAATTTTTAATGCACATAACGTTAATTTTTATGTTAATTTTACAGAGTTATAGTTTTTCATTAAATTGAAATGAAACATTTTACATTTTGGTGTCCCTAGAGTATTGAAAATGCTTATAGTTCCTGCTGTGAATTCTAACGCGCGGTGACAAGGTTTCGCATGTGTCAAAAAATATATATCAATCCGTGCATCAATTTTTTTGTTTGTGCTAAGTACCCTTAAAGTCATATTTCACTTTTAATTCCCATTATTTATTTAAGCAAAAATTAAATTTTTAACAAGAGGCCCATGGGCCACATCGCTCACCTGAAAAGCTTTGACCATTCTGTTCTTTACCAGATTTCCCCCTTGTTATACATAATGCATCCCCACCCTACCCAACTGATCATAATTTAGACAATTTGAAATCTGCACTACCCCATGATCCTTCCATGGGCACATATGTTTCAGCTTTTTAGGCCCAGTGGTTCCTGAGAAGAAGATTTTCAAAGATTTTTCCTATATATTTCTATGTAAAACTTTGATTCCCTATAATGGCCCCGCCCTTCCCCCAGGGGTCATGATTCCTACAATTTAGAATTTACACTACCACAGAATGCTTCCACATAGGTTCACTTCTTCTGGCCCTGTTGTTCTTGAGAAGAAGATTTTCAAAGATGTTTCCTATATATTTCTATATAAAAATTTAATTTCCCATTATGGCCCCACCCTTCCCCCGGGGGTCATGATTTGAACAATTTAGAATCTACACTTTACCAAGATGCTTCCACATAAGTTTCAGCTTTTCTGGCCCAGTGGTTCTTGAGAAGAAGATTTTCAAAGATTTTTCCAATATATTTCTATATAAAACTTTGATTCCCCATTGTGGCCCCGCCCTTCCCCAGGGGTCATGATTTGAACAATTTAGAATCTACACTACCCCAGGATGCTTCCACATAAGTTTCAGCTTTACTGGCCCAGTGGTTCTTGAGAAGAAGATTTTTTAATGACCCAACCCTATTTTTGTCTTTTCTTGATTATCTCCCCTTGCGAGGGGACATGTCCCTTCATTTTAATAATTTAAATTCCCCTTTACCCAAGGATGCTTTGTACCAAGTTTGGTCAAAATTGGCCCAATGATTCTTGAGAAGAAGTCGAAAATGTGAAAAGTTTACAGACGGACAGACAGACAGACAGACAGACAGACAGACGGACAGACGATGGACAAAATGTGATCAGAAAAGCTCACTTGAGCCTTCGGCTCAGGTGAGCTAAAAGTCATTACATTGGTATGGAGATGTGCAGATATATGATAGATCAATGTTTGATAAATGAATTAATGTGGGTAGGTACAATAAAATAATTTAGGGCATTAGAGTAAGAAGATCTGATTATTCTTTAAAGCATTTTGTCACTATTTTTGTACATAACATAAAATGCCAGGAAATTTAAAATAATCTGTCAATAAATAGTTTATTTTGATATTTCATACTGCTTCACTAAACAGGTTTTATATCAGGACCAGTCCATAATATATTCATGTAAACCTGGCACCAAAGAAGTTAAGTCTTTATTACTTCAAGGACACTTTATTTTTCTTTTTCGAATTTTGACACTTACATAAATCTTATTCTTATATATATAAATCACTGACCAATACAACACAGTACCTTGACTTCCTGAAGCTTGTTAAGTTGTTCTTCGGAGAGAGATTCTTTAGACCAGCACAGGGCAGAACACGTTTTTGTTTTCTCTATTTCACCTTCCTTCAGTTTATCTACATCTTTTCTATTGATGAAAAGTAAAAACAAGTACAGAATTTACACATGAAGGAAAAAAATCTCTTACATTTCATCATCAACATTAGTCTGTTTTTTATAGCTCAAATACTCTCATTTGTTGTCTCCATGAAAACAATTTTCAAGAAATACAATACTTTCATGCAAAAATGTTTTATCATACATTGCAATGAAATATTTGAAAGAAATTGCATTTAAATTTATTTTAATAATTTTTCAAGAAAATAATTGTTATTTATCTTCCTCTCATCAAAGGATAAATTAGTTTTTAGAGCCTTGGCTACTGGCTGTTATTATAGATACATTGTCCTTGAAATTAAAGATGTTTACTTCATTTACATCTTAAAATCCTTACTTGTCAACAATTTGTAAATCCCTGACTTTAATATCAGCTGACTTGTTGATTTCCTGAAGAAGAAGAAGAAAAAAAAAATTAAAATTATACACCAGCTTTAATTTGGTTCCCAAATTGTCTTTTTATGGTTAGAGAAAATATGTGTAGGACATTTTGTACAATAAATGTGTTTCTTATTTTAAATGAAAAACATTTTTTTTTGCTTCCCCCACCCCCCCCCCCCCCCAAAAAAATAATATGCCTGGAAACTTGCCAAAAGCCAGTACAATAAGTGCAAACTAACAGCATAAAATTAACATACCAATTTTACTTAAGCTTTGTAAAAAAAAAAATACATTGCCTTTTGTACTTCCAGGATATCTTTTGCCGAGAATTCAACTCGATGTGGATTATCCATTTCTACAACAAAAGGCCTTCCTGCAAACAGGAAAAGATTTTTTTAAAACAAGAGGCCCAAGGGCCTTGAATCGCTCTTCTGAAAAATTGTACAATCTATCACTTCTTGAAGCCTCTTACTCTAAGTATCCTAAGATGCATGAACTGACTCTTTGCCAATTAGGACTGAAGATATTTCAGTATAGCTATAAAATACCATAAGTAGGACATGGTGACCTACTTTTTGATTTGAAACTTTCTGAGGACTCAAGATGCATTAATTGACAAAGATTGTTGGTTCTAACCAATAAGTACCTCAAATATTAAAGTAGGTCACTGTGACCTTCTTATGGTTGACATTCTCCGAGGACCAAAGATGCATCAACAATCAGAGTTTGATGATTTTAAGCCAAGAAGTACCAGAGATACTTAAATAAAGCAATAAAATGTCATAAAAAGGTCACCGTGACTTACTTTTTGGTTGACATTTTCCGAGGACCCAAGATGCATCAACTGACAATGTTTGATGATTCTAAGCCAATAACTATCTGAGATAATTAAAAGTAGGTCACTGTGACCTACTTTTTGGTCGACATTCTCCTAAAACCGATGATGCCTCAACTGACGTTTGATAATTCTAAGCCAAAAAGTACCTAAGATATAACCATAAAATTTCAAAACTAGGTCATAATGACCTACTTTTTGTTTGACATTCTCCGAAAAACCAAGTTGCATCAAATGACAAAATTGTGATAATTCTAAGCCAAAAAGTACCTAAGATAGCCATAAAATGTCAAAAGTAGGTCACCATGACCTCCTTTTTGGTCAACATTTTCAGAGGGCCCAAGATGCATCAACTGACAATGTTTCATGATTCTAAGCCAAAAAGTACCTGAGATAATCAAAAGTAGGTCATTGTGACCTACTTTTTGGTCAACATTCTCGGAAAACCCAAGATGCCTCAACTGACAACGTTTAACAATTCTAGGCCAATAAGTACCCAGGATAAGTGAATAGAGCCATAAAATTCAAAACTAGGTCACAGTGACCTACTTTTTAGTCGACATTCACGAAAACCCAAGTTGTATCAACTGACAAAGTTTGATGATTATAAGCCAAAAAGTACCTAAGATACAGAAATATTGCCATAAAATGTCAAAACTACGTCACAGTGACCTGTTTTTTGGTCCACATTTTCCGAAAACCCAGATCATCAAATGACAAAGTTTGATGATCATAGGTCTGAAAGTATTCAAAATATGCCTTTTAAACAATTTGAAAACAAATGCCTGCAAAATTCAAAAAGTAGGTCACAGTGACTTACTTTTTCATAAAAATGTTTCAAGGCCCTAAGATGCATCAACTTACAAGATTTGGTGAATCTAATCCTCTCAGTATCTGAAATAATGGGATTAAATGTTTTAGAAAAGGTGAGCCATGAAATTCAAAAAGTAGGTCATGGTGTCCTACTTTTAAGTTGACCTTGTTTAAGAACCCAAGATGCATCAACTGACAAAGTTTGATGATCATAGGCCTTAAAGTGTCCAAAATATGCCTTCAAATAATTTGAAAACAAAAGCCCGTAAAATTTAAAAAGTAGGTCACCATGACCTACTTTTGTGTTCACATGATGTGAATTCCTAAGATGCATCAACTTACAAGATTTGATAACCCTAGTCTTTATAATAAGCAAAATATCAATGTTTTTATTAAGTGTAAATTTTGGTTAACTTTGAAGTGACCTTGAGACCACCCCCTTTGCCCCAGGGTCATGCCTTGAACAATTCTTAATCTTCAACGTATCCTGACCCTTGTATGTAAGTTTGGTGAAAATCTACCTGGTGGTTCTGGAGAAGATTTTTTAGCAACCAGTAATTTTGGTTCTATTTTCCTGATTATCTCCCTTGTTTTAGGGTCCCAACCCTAGTTTTAGTATAAATGGTAGCCCTTGGACCAAGGATACCCTGTAACAAATTTGACAATGATTGGCCAAGGGGTTCTTGAGTTATGGCCCATATTCTAACAAGAGGCCCAGGGGCCACATCGCTCACCTGAGCAATTGGTGAAGAAAAAGCTTAATGAAAGTTTACTGAGGGTGAGGGGGCTTGAATTTTACCCCCCCCCCAGAGGGTCATGATTTGAACAAACTTGAATCTACACTACCTGAGGATGATTCCCTATAAATATCACTAAGCCTGGCTTTGAGGTACTTGAAATTTAAAGAAGATTTTAAAAGGTTTCCCTATATATTCCTATGTTAAACTTTTATCGGCCATTTTGGCCCCACCCTACCCCCGGGGGTCATGATTTGAACAAACTTGAATCTACACTACCTGAGGATGATTGCACATGAGTTTCATCTTTCCTGGCCCAGTGGTTCTTGAGAAGAAGATTTTTCCTTATATTCCTATGTTAAATTATGATCGGCCATTTTGGCCACACACTACCCCCTGGGGTCATGATTTGAACAAACTTGATTCTACACTTCCTGAGGATGATTCCACGTAAGTTTCATCTGTCCTGACCCGGTGATTCTTGAGAAGAAGATTTTTAAAGATTTTTCCTATATCTTTGATCGGCCATTTTGGCCCCACTCTACCCCCGGGGGTCATGATTTGAACAATTTTGAATCTACACTACCTGAAGATGATTCCAGATAAGTTTCATCTTCCTGGCCCAGTGGTTCTTCAGAAGAAGATTTTTTAAGTTTTTCCTATATATTCCTATGTTAAACTTTGATCGGCCATTTTGGCCCCACCCTACCCCCGGGGGTCATGATTTGAACAAACTTAAATTTACACTACCTGAGGATGATTCCATATAAGTTTCATCTTTCCAGGTCCAGTGGTTCTTGAAAAGAAGATTTTTAAAGATTTTTCCTATATATTCCTATGTTAAACTTTGATCGGCCATTTTGGCCCCACCCTACCCCCGGGGGTCATGATTTGAACAAACTTGAATCTACACTTCCTGAGGATGATTCCACATGAGTTTCATCTTTCCTGGCCCTGTGGTTCTTGAGAAGAAGATTTCTTAAGATTTTTCCTATGGAAAACTTTGATCGGCCATTTTGGCCCCACCCTACCCCCGGGGGGTCATGATTTGAACAAACTTTAATCTACCCTACCTGAGGATGATTCCACATGAGTTTCATCTTTCCTGGTCCAGTGGTTCTTGAGAAGAAGATTTTTAAAGATTTTTCCTATATATTCCTATGTTAAACTTCTGATCGGCCATTTTGGCCTCACCCTACCCCCAGGGGTCATGATTTGAACAAACTTGAATCTACACTTCCTGAGGATGATTCCAGATGAGTTTCATCTTTCCTGGCCCAGTGGTTCTTGAGAAGAAGATTTTTAAAGATTTTTCCTATATATTCCTATGTTAAACTTTGATCGGCCATTTTGGCCCCACCCTACCCCCGGGGGTCATGATTTGAACAAACTTAAATCTACACACCTGAGGATGATTCCATACGAGTTTCATCTTTCCTGTCCCAGTGGTTCTTGAGAAGAAGATTTTTAAAAATGCCATTAATTTTTCTCTAATTCATAATTATCTCCCATTTGAAAAGGGTGTGGCCCTTCATCTGAACAATCTTGACTCCCCTTCACCTAAGGATACTTTGTGGAAAGTTTGGTTGAAATTGGCCCAGTGGTTTTTGAGAAGATAAAAATGTGAAAAGTTAACGACAACAACGACGACAGACAACAGTCAACAGACAAATTCTGATCAGAAAAGCTCACTTGAGCCTTCGGCTCAGGTGAGCTATAAAGTTAACGCACACCGCACAAATGACCATAGCATTAGCTCTTTGAGCCTTTGGCTCAGAAGAGCTAAACATAAACAAAATCAGATCACTATTATTAATAAGTTTGCATGTAGAATTGCAACTCAATTAAACTTGCAATATAATTTATAGAAACAAGTTTTCTTGTTTTGGAAATTGTGTCAAGCTGCATAATGAATAGAAATAAGGAAACCTCCCCTTCCATGTATACAAACATTATTTTTTATAATCTATGAAACCCTGCATTAATTTTCTTAAAGATAACAATATAAATGTTCACTTAATCAAAAATGCCTACTGTAAAAACAATGTTTCAGAAATATTTGTAAACAGAATTTGTACAAAAATATTACAACTTTTACAAATTTTCATCTATACTTTACCTTTTCCTAACATTCTTACATCCACATCTTCTCGTCCTGATGAAGAAAAACGTTGTTCTGAAAATTAAGGTACCGCGCATTTTTACAAATACATTCAGAATTTGCCAGAGGTCTATTGGTTACAAACCTCACTAGAATCAAATCCACATTTTTTTCTGATAGAAGAATTTATCAAATCCTAATGTTTATAGCTATTAAAGTTTTTAATTTCTCCATATTTACAACAAATGGGGAAAGTGTTTTATGAACTGTCAGCTGTCATAATAGTTTAAATTTTTTATATACATGTATTGTATCAGCTGGGAACTATGGAAATAAATGTGATATGCCTTATGAATTTGTGTAGTTTGTTGATTATGCCTGGTCATTACATGTAACTTGAAGTTGAAAACTTAGGATAATTTATGGGCTTCACTTTGATGCTTGAATTTTTAAAAAAATGTATATGAAACTTGGAAGGGTGCATAATCAAAGAGTGGCTCATGAAATTTAATCCCAGTACAGGTGAACCAGGAAGTATAAACAGCTGACAACAGGTAGATAACACAGGTGTGTAGATCACATGATCAATGTCACTGAGATTACATAGAGACGATCAATAGTTTAATGAAAGAGACCGCCATTACTGTCTTAAATCAGGTATTATTTCAAATTGAATAACATAAATTTATGCATATCAAATATTAATCTTTGAAATATCCATCTTAAGAATGCATTTAATAAGAAGAAATTTGTTGAAGAACAGTGTGAA